GCGATGAGTGAGTGCCAGCCGGGCTCGCAGTGCTGACGGCCCCTAGTCCCGGCGTCGCGGCAGGGCTCCCCGCCCTGGTTTCCGTGGAAGCCCTAGGCGCGGCGCTGTTTGCCGTGCGCCCTCAGCTTGAGGAAATCGCGCTGCTCCGGGAAGTCGTGTGGTGCAGAAGGCAGCTGTCTCCCCTGTGAGCACTGCCCGCATCAAGACGTGTGTGGAGGCCCGCGCGCCGGCCTCCGGGACAGGTTCTGGAGCAACTGACGCTGGGAGCTCACGGTCACTGACAGGGCACCGGCCCCAGGCCGCGGTGCCTTCTTGTGCGGGGCGTGCAGAAGGCCCGGAGGTTAGTTCCTGTTAGGTAATTGCCGCAGGTGAGTGACCAGTAAGTCAGAGCGCCTGGACTTTTACGGGAGAAGCTGATTGCACTTTGACCTGCTGCTCATAAATGCAGAGACTGCTCTGGGGTTTAAGTTCAAAGAGTGCGTGTGTGTCTGTGCGTGTGTGTGCGCACATGCATTATGCACGCGTGTGTGTCCTTTCTTATTTGAAAATCATTTTGGGGGAAAGGTACAGCTCGGGGTAGAGTGCCTACTTAGCGTGCACAAGGTCCTGGGTTCAATCTCCAGTACCTCCACTGAAAGAAAGAAAGAAAGAAACCTAATTCCACGCCCCCCCCCAAAAGGAGGTATACAGTGCTGTATGTCAATTATATCTCAATAAAACTGGAAGGGAAAAAATGATTAAAAACTAAAAATAAATAAAAATATTTTTTAAAGAAAAAGAAAAATCATTTCCCTCCAAGAGCAGCGGTGCACCTGACCTGACCACAGGCTCGAGGAACGCATTCTTTTAGTCCGTCTGGGGCCAGAGACGAGGTCCAGCACTGAGCGTGAAGCCTGTGCAGGCTGTACCGGAGATGGTATTACAGGATGACCTCAAGGCCGTCTGCCTACGGTCAGATGGAAGACCGCCTACCCACGGGTCTCACAGTCACTATTAACGCGGTCCACAATGACAGGGCAGGGAAAGAAGGAAGTACGTGGCTTGTCCCCATATGTCTTTTATGGGCTGCCCTCTCCCATGAGATACAACCCTCAAGATTATGAAAATAAACTGGGATAAAATAAATGTCTTTGTTTTCTTAGTCTTCCACCCCAGAAAGTAATTGTAATTGGGGGTCTTCAAAAAAAATCTATATAACCTCAGAAAGGTGCTTCCAGATAAAACATCTTGTCCTGTCAAGAGGAGGAATGTTGGGGCCCTTCTCAGGGGCCAGCTGACAGTTGTCATTTCTGTCCAGTCTTGTTCTGGGGGATATTAGCAACTAGCCTGGCCCTAGAATACCTGTTTTTATTCCTCTGTCAAATTTTGGAGACTGTAAAGAAATGTTACATATTTACTAAATTACACAAAAGCCATGATTTAGTACAAGCTTCAGAGGCGACAGGATTAGTGTGGAAAAGGCAGGTGTTTCTAAAACTACCATCAGCCCTGGGGATGAGTTTCTCTGGTGTCGGTCAGCCCTGCCTCTTTTCCCATTTCCCACAACAGATAATCATTCGAAACCAATGGAAATAGACGGAGACGTGGAGATTCCACCCAACAAAGCCACAGTCCTTCGGGGACATGAGTCTGAGGTGTTCATTTGTGCCTGGAACCCTGTCAGTGATCTCCTGGCGTCCGGGTAAGGATGTCAGGCAGGGCGTGCCCCAGGGTCTGGGCGTCTGCGTTCTGACTCTTGGGACATGCACTCCCTTCCTGCTGTGTGTGCCGTCTCCCCAGTGTGTGTGGACCAAGGCTTGGGGCACTCTGGGTACCCCAGGCTGAGGAAGAGTCTTCAGTCCCAGCCGTTTTCTCAGTGGGGTGGGGAGCAATGCAGGGACATTCAGCATTACTAAACTTCCATCAGGAGGGGAAACCCGCAGGGAGTGAGCGGTGTTACAAAGACCAAGGGCCTCATGCCCAGGATGCCTGGTGTAGCCAGACGGCGGGGAGCAGAGGGCTTTGTTCGCACTGGACACGGAGGCTGATCGCTGTGTGTGTTCCTTGTGCAGATCCGGAGATTCGACAGCGAGGATATGGAACCTGAATGAAAACAGCACCGGGGGCTCCACCCAGCTCGTGCTGAGGCACTGTATACGGGAAGGGGGCCACGACGTCCCCAGCAATAAAGACGTGACCTCGCTGGACTGGAACGTAAGCCTCTGCCGCCACCCAGACGCTTCAGTTCACATCAGTAAAATCCACCAGCGGCCTCGGCGAGGGCTGCATGGGGGAGTTGAGCCGGGCAGGCAGATGCAGGGAAGGGGCAGGCCTGTGCCACCCCCAGGGCTCTGGGCTCCTTAGCAGGCTGTGGGCGTTGGGCAGACAGCAGCTGGTTTCCAGGGTGGGTCTGCGGATGTCACCCGGAGAGGCTGCTCTGCTGACGTCATGTGCCGTGGGGCCAAGGGAAGATGACCTTCCACCTGGACACCTCAGCACCGGTGTCTGTGTGTGAGACACTCGGCATTTCAGCTTCTTTGAACTTCTCTCTTGCTCTCTGTCATATTTCTGCACATCCTGTCACTTCATCACCAGTGCCACTCTTAACTATTTGTAAATGTTTTTAAAAGCTCACTCGAGTCTCCAAAAGTCTCACAAGACTTTTTGTGCAGTGTGTTTTTGGGTGTCATCAGTGGTGAGTGGTGGTCCCATGTTTTCCCCGCCCCCTTGTCTTCTTGATGGGACTACTGGGGAGCCTGTTCTGTCTTACATTTTAGTTGAAGAGCCGTGTGAGCTAAAGTAGTCCCCCGTGACTGGTGAGTGTCTTAACTGGGAGCTGGTTACTGACATCAGGCTGCTCTAGCCCTGGGATGCTGGGAGATGCTCCCCTTTTCAGGTCTGCCCCCACTGAGCTGTGCCTGTTGCTGTTTCTCTCTGGCCCACAGAGTGACGGGACACTGTTGGCTACAGGGTCATATGATGGTTTTGCAAGAATATGGACGGAAGACGGTAAGTCCTGCCTTCCCCATGTTGGGGTCGGAGAAGAGGTGCTTTGCTGTGCCATCATCCCATGGGCAGACTTGGACGTCAGCATGCTGCCGTGTTTTGTTTTTCACATGCAGGTAACCTGGCCAGCACCTTAGGCCAACATAAAGGCCCCATCTTCGCCTTGAAATGGAACAAGAAGGGGAATTACATTTTGAGTGCCGGCGTAGACAAAGTGAGTGTTTGCTTAAAATACGTCTCTGCGGTCTGTAGATGTTTACTTGTGTTTAATCTCAGATAACATCAGGGTTTCTTTGAATTCTGAGAATTCTGCCTTCCCTTAAGGAATCAGAAGGACCTGTGTAGGTTTTGTTTGTTTCTGTGGTTTTGATCTGACTGTTCACTTGTAACACATCATCTCTTAATGTGCCGTGGACTGGTCTGCAGACTGACACGTAAACCTTTCCCCCCCTCCTTTATTTTGAGGTTTAGTTCAGTGATAGAAGAAATCCCCAAGCTGCATTTATCCAGGGTTTGAAGAAGCCCACCTGCATGGGTTGTAAACTTTCCCCTGCCGAGTGATTTTGAGAACACACACCGTCTCCTCTCACCAGGCTTCTGTTTCCTAGTTTGATAACTGGTTGCTTCCCACTGTAGACGGCAGGCTTCCCTGAGAGCAGGAGCGGGTAGACACATATGCAAGTGGTCCTGCCCACAATGGCCCGCAGAGCAGATGTCCAGTCTGCTTTGCTCCTGGTGGGGCTGCCTGGTGGATGTGATGACTAAAGTCCCGGGTGGCTGTCAACCAACACCCAGATGCATCTAGAAGCCGTTATGGGGTGACAGAGCACAAGATGACCTCAGGAGGGGTAGATAGCATCCTGGCTCTGAGCAATTAATCCAGCACGTCTCACCCTGTCCCAGTTTATGTTTCCTCGGCTGCCAAGAGACAGGAATCGTGACCCCCAAAGAATATTGCATGAATGGTTGTGCCACCCTTAATGCTCAATAGGAATTCTTAAGTCTTAAGTCATTGCTTTGGAAAATAAATATTATCAAGAAATGAAGAAGGAAAAATAAGTTCTCACATCAGTTTATGTCTCTACAACTAGAAACCATGCCTGAATACTTCGATTTGATGTCCAGAAGGTTTTACATTTTCGTAATCACTTCAGTATAAATTGAAAACCTTATTAAATTGCCACCGTCTGTTCATTCAAGTTCTAAACATGCATATAAAATAGTAGACAAGACCTGTAAACATTGACACAGTCTTGGAAAAGTCATAGTTGGATTTGACAAACCATGGTCTATAGGTCAAAACTAGCCCATGGCTTGTTTTTGTAAATAAAGTTTTATTGGCACACAGACACACCCACTTGTTCAGAACTGTCCATGGCAGCTTTCACATTTCAACAACAGCGTGGACTAGTGGTGACAGACACCGTATGGCCGTTGGAGCCTAAAATATCTGCTGCCTGGCCCTTGACAGAGAAAGCTGGTTGCCCCCACAGTTAAGTAGTGTAACCCACCGGGGCACTGAATTACTCCTTGTTTCTTTCTCTTCCTCTCATTTATGCCAACAAACCCTGCTTTCCAACTTGGCAGCCTAACACCTGACATACAAAAGCCGAGCTGCTGGGTCGACGCACCACATGTTCTCGTGGGTCCAGTGTTGAATTTTCCCAGAGATGTTACAACTCAGATATTGCACACACACACAACTTTGTCTTCTATGTGGCCGGTCGTCAGCACTGCTGATGGAGTTACTAAACGTCCGTGCGAGCGATCACTCCCACATGCGTTGGCCCAGTCGATGCTCCCAAGATAGGGGGCAGGTCCATCCTTTTTCACGGAGGGGAATGTGGAGCCCCAGAGAGCGTCACTGACTTGCCTGGGACACATGGTAGAGAGCCGGGTGGGCTGGGAACTCGGGCCCTGGGCGCCGGTCCCTGCCGCCCTTGAACTTCCACAAGACTCCGGGGAGTCCTTCGCGGCCTGAGCTCCTTCCTGCCCCAGGGCTACTTTTTATATTCATGTTGCGTTTTCTACCTGATTATCATTCGAGTCTACCAGGTGGTGAACTGGGTGGTTGGTGAAAATGTTCATTTAGAATTCTGGTAGCTTTGGGTCAGACACTCCCTGCTGTAATTAGTCAACCATGGCAGGAATAATAATGTTCTCGAAAGGAACATTTTCTCAGGGAGGAAATGTAACTTAGGGATGCTGGCTTTGACCTTCAGTATGTGCTTAACCCAGTGTGGCTAAAGGGTATTTCGGATCCTTGAAACTTTTGTGTAATTAATATTTTCTTTTGTCCAGCGTGTGTTTAACCTGAAACATCAACAAACTGAACAAGTTGTCAGTGTAGTGTATGAAATTGTATTGGAATCGTGAAAAGGTTTATATGTTCTCTTCTGTGCTAGATTGTTGGCAAATGGCTCCATTAAGGAAAGAGTTCTACCCCATCAAACAAACAAAAAATTGTTAATTGGTCTAGAGCTGACCCCAGACTTAGAGAACCAAGTTTCACAGATCCTCACTGCTCTGAGTATTTCCTCTGAAAATTTCTGCAGTTGATACAAAATATAACCAGTTCTTTTTAAAAGAAAACCTTCAGTAAGTGTCATCGACAGGGAGGTGTCAGGGTTCCGATTCAGTTGAAAATTCCACTCGATTAAGACGTAATTCCAGTGGTATTCATTGAGCTGCCTTTGGCTGTTTGCCTGAGTGTCTCCCAGCATCAAGCATTCATGATTCACTTCGTTTTCCAGCGTAGACATCATTTTTTTTCTCCTTATGTACAGTCTGATAATTCAGTGCCAGATGAAAGAGGTGTCTACTCCCTTCTGTCCACTTGAAGCCAGTTTCTTCTATCAGTAACCCAGTTGCTCTGCTATGTCTAGTGTCCCTAGTTCATGGAGTGATGGTCAGAGGAATTTTCAGAAATACCTGTTCGTGCAGCTTTTCATTTGGAAAAGTGCCAGAAAGGTGTTTGGATATGCATTGTTACAGTTTCTGCAAAAGCTTTTCATGTGTGGGGATAAGGGAGAGTTCCCAACAAAACTGGTGGTTTTCCGAGTATCAGTTCCAGCTGCTGCGTCTGGGGGAGGAACCACCAGCGCGTGTGGCTAAGTTCTTAAATGTGACCACCGTCCAGATGGTTAAGCGTAAAGCACACCCTGGATTCCAAAGGCATGGATGAAGAAGGGAGTGCGAACTATCTCACTGACGTGTATATGCTGATTTCATGTTAGAATGATAGTATTCGGGCTGTGTTGAAGTGAAATTAACTGGATTGTTAAAGTTAGCTCTACTAGTTTTTTTTCTCTTTTTTTAGTGTGGCTACTATACAGTTCTAAATTTCCTGTGTGGCTCACGTGCTGTTTTTTGGACAGTGCTGGTTTAAAAGGAAGAGGGGCCCACTGCCTGCTCTTCTCTGATAAATTTTTCTAGAGAAACCTTTGTGAGAAGACTGATTACTAACTTTTTTTTTTCTCTTTCTTTTTCTTTTTTTTTATGCGGAGCACAGACAACGATAATTTGGGATGCCCACACAGGAGAGGCCAAACAGCAGTTTCCATTTCATTCCGGTGAGTATTTTTATAAATTTTTCGTAATTAAAAAATCATTCAGAGTCCTAGGAAATGTCCCTTAAAGTGCTCATGAATGCTTGGAGGAAGGCATCACGGAATCCAACTGGCAGGGAGGAAACTCGTCTCGTGGGAAGCATTGCTCTTGAGATCTGTGACATCCTGGTGCCCTCAACTCTCGAAGGCTCAGACGTTTATAAGCACCCAGTGAACCAAGTCCAGAACCAGCGTGGGCTCCTTTCAGCTGCTGCCCTCAAGGACGCTGTGTTGGGTGGGAGTCCCTGAGACCATACCAAGCCTCAGCGATTCACTGGGAGGACCCCCAGGACTCTGCATGCGGTCAAATTCACAGCTCAGATTTATTACAGCGAAAGAATGCAAAGCAAAATCAGCAGGGGGAGAAGGCACGAGGGTGAATCCAGAGCTTTCAGGGTTCCCTCCTGGTGGGGTCACAGAGGATGTGCCGGATCCCCCCAGAAGCCAACTGTGGTGACATGCGTGAAGGATTGTCTACCAGTGAGGCCCCATAGGCCCCCATGCCCGGCATGCACCCACATTCCAGACTGCCGGGAGGAGCGTGAGGGTTCAGCGTCAACCACGGATGTTGTCTGCACAGACAGTTAAGGCACAGAAGCCGTCGTTACTAGTTACAAGATGCTAGGACCCCTCTGGAAATCCGAATTCCCAGACTCCAGCCAAGGCCAGCCTCGCCACCAGGCCTTCCTGTGGCGAGCAGTGTCAGGCCTGCGGGGGCCTTTGCTCCACTGCTCTCGACCGAACCACGTCTCCCTGTGTTGGGGCGCACCAGGCCCCACGGAGCCCACGGTCGAGACAGTCCGGGTTCCCCGATTCCCAACCCCTGATTCAATCCGATCGTTAGATGTGACCTCTGGACTTCAAAGAGAGAAAGCACCCCAGAGTTCAGAGACTGACAGGAAGAAACTGGCTTCAAGTGGACAGAGGGGAATGGACGCCTCTTTGGTCCACAGGAGGCGCCTGCCCCGCTTAGAGGGAGTTACCAAGCAGACGGGGTGCATGTTACTGCTGGGTCAGGCGTCTCTGGGGTGATGTTGAGGAGGGGGTCAGAGGCTCTTCCCTGACGGGCACTTCCCGCTGCCGGGGGGTGTCTGAATTGAGGGAGGGCTGGCCCCGAGGACGGCCCAGGCAGTGCAGCCCACCTCGGAGCCCAGGGAGCACTCTGAGTGGGGGATGCAGGTCCTGCAGGGAGCAGACTGTGAGGGAGAGCCCAATGAGGCCTTGACAGGACTGTGACAAACACACGGGCACCAGCGTCTGTTGCTCCACACGGTCCTTCTGACCCGGGCAGACCCGGGAGGTGCCGGCTTACAGCCTGCTGCTCTGGAGAGGCAGCCCGTCTCTTCCACGCTGTCCTCCGAGCTTGGGGACCACGCCAGACACACCTGTGGGGGCTGCGGGGAGTTGTTGTGGGTACTGCTCTCTGAAAGCATGGATGATGTGCCAGTTGCTTGAGATATTATAGAACATACGCTGCCACCTTGGCACCCCAACATCTGTGCGTGTGCGTGTGTGTGTTCGGGGTGGGCAGAATACACCAGCATTCACATTGTGCACAACTGTCCCCACTGTCCAGTTCCAGAACATACGTGTCACCCTTCACCCGTAGGAAGTCCCCCTCCATCCCCACTTCCCCAGCCCCTGGAGACCCAGCCTGTGTGTTTTGATTGTGTCGTCTCCACGCCATGCAGCTACACTGTCGACTGTACAAAGCAGAGCAAGTGGGTCTGCCTGCCCATTGCATTTGCCGTAAATGCCAAGACCATTCTACCTTTGTTGTCACAAAGGATGCAGTGGCAGGGTCAGAGCCCAGAACGTCAGATGTGCTGACCCACGCAATGAGGGGAGTGCCTGTAACACAGAAAGCTCTGGCTTCTATTTTTCAGAGTTAATGTGCCCCAGATAACCATCCGTAAGGTTCCTCTAACAGTTTTATCTTCAGAATTAATTATAAGTCTTTTGACAGAATATAGTATTCCCCAGAGCGTTCCCAAGGTCCAGAGGAGGGCCTTCCACACCACAGTCACGTTTTCTTCTGCACTGAGAGAGCTCCTCCCCTGTAGCTAACCCGCAAGGTACCGTGTCCCATCACTGGGTCAGGAAGTTCGTGTGTCATGTGCTCTTTCTTACAAGTGTGAAGTGGTGTCCTGAGGATTGTTCAAGATGGAAAAAAGGAAGGGTGCTGTGTTTCCGGGTGAGATGCAGACTGCGAGAGGGGCACCTTTCCTTAGCACTCGTGGGGTTGATCAGAGAAATTGCCCATTAGGTGTTCCCCATGCCGGCCTGTTGGTTGCACCTCAATTCCTGGAGGCGTTAGCGCAGAGCTAGTGGTGGAACAGCACTCAGCAGTGAGAAGGAGCAGATTATCTGTAGATCATTGAGAGGGCCGTCTGCTTCGTGAGAAAAGGCCATTTCTATAACATTCTGGAAATGATGTAATTTGAGGGGGGAGCGGTTAATGGAGGTCGTGGGGATTGAATGCATGCTAAGCATGCCCTCTACCCCTGAGCTACACCCCTCCCCCCGCCAGAATTTTAGATATGAAGAACAGATCAGTGGAGCCAGGGTTTAGGAGCGGTTGTTCAAGGAAGAGGTGGTGTGATGGTAAAGTGGCACACGGGAGGTCTTGGAGGTGGTGGAACCCGGTTCTGGATCTTGGCTTTGGAGGTAGTTACACAGATCTGCCCATGTGAGCACACGGGTGGCACAGCCACTGCACGCACGTCCCACCCAAGCAGCTTCCGGGCTTGCGTGTTGTACTGCGGGGCCAGAAACTGCAGCCGCTGGGTGGAGGGTACGTGTGGGGCCTCTGTAATATCTTTACAGCTTCCTGTGATTCTGTAAGCATTTCACAATTAAAAGTTTATTTTTTTTTTAAGAGCAAAGTAAAGTTTGGCTATGCTCGGAATGGTTGCTGACTCTTGAACCTCACTGGCCGTGTAGGCAGGGAGGGCACACAGACACACACCCCACCCCACCCCACCCCACCCCGCCCAGGGTTAACTTAGCCCCATTACATGTCGCTCACTCACACTGAATGGTGAGCTCACGTTTGGGGGTTGGAGGTCCTGGGTCTCAGCAGCAGGATGGACTCAGAATGGGGCCAGCCACCTGAGCACACAGCGTCCGCTATTCAGATTACAAAGCTTCAGCAGAAGATAGTTTTTACGGCCAGGTGCTGGTCACTGTCCCCTCCAGGTTGTCGCTCTTGCAGGTGTGCGAACTGCATACACGAAGGCAGAGGCTGGCCACGGAGTTCATGACTTGGCTCGTCCAGTGTTGTACACAAGAGCAGCTGCGGGCTTGGCTCCCTGGCTCCCGGGACCGGTTCCTTGGTTCCACTGGACACACGTGGGGAATGTGGCGGGAACCGTGGGCTGTGGAGATGAAACAAGAAGAAGTGCCTTGGGTTGTTGAAGAAGCCAGTGCTGCCTCTGGGCCAGACCCCCCAACCCACAACCTCTGTGGGGACGGGGCAGCGGGCCGTGGAAGCTAACAGGGTCTGTCCCTGCAGTGGTGGGAGGCGGACGCGTGTGCAGGCACGCACTTCTTGTTTAAAGACCCAGGATGAGAAGGGGCAACACGACTTAGCACATCCTAAGTGAGGTTCTCCCAATCCAGTGCTGACTTCCTTGAAGAAACACACGGAGACAAGGTTAGGGCTTGACAGCTGATGGGGAACCCTTTCTTTCCCTACAAGCAGCCAGGTGTCTGGAGAGGACAAGGATGCAGCGTGGTCTCCTGGGAGTTTGGGAGAAAGGAAAAGGGTTGTCCCTGTCTCCCAAACCCTCAGCAGAGGTCTTGGAGCCACTAGCCCCTGAGAAATGGAGGCAGAGACAGTGTTCATCACAAGGCCACCTGTGTCCCCTAAAGGCGGGGGTGCTTCTTGTCAACTGTAAGCACCCAGCAGTCGGTGGATGCATTCACGTGTTGTGGGAGATTTTTTCAGTGGGGATGTCTTACACACAGGATGTGGAGTCGTTTTCCTCTCCTTTCTCTCCTGCGTACCTAAAACAAGTGTAGTCAGCCCACCGCAGTGGTGCTCCCCGGAGCAGCATGGTACAGGGGCAGGGCAGGCAGCGTGCCTCTCCCCTGCCGTGTCTGCCCTGTGCCAGGGGAGCGCGAGACTGTGTGCCCAGGGCACGTGAAGTGTCTCAGGGTCTCTCTCTGGAGGTGTCTGGTCGTCCCGTCAAACGTATAGGACAGGTCTGTGAAGGCTGGAGGCTGTGTTTTTATCACATCAGTAGATGAGATGTCTTGACTGTGCTGTTAACTTCTCAGTCAGCTGGCCTCTGTGCACCAATGGTAAATGCAGATGTCGCCCCCCCACCCCCGCTCCCTTTTCTGCTTCACAGCCCCTGCTCTCGATGTCGACTGGCAGAACAACACTACCTTTGCCTCCTGTAGCACAGACATGTGTATTCACGTCTGCAGACTTGGCTGTGACCGCCCAGTCAAAACCTTCCAAGGACACACAGTAAGTGCAAGTTCGGATTTTGGGGCTCACGTTCATGAGAATGTGCTGGGAGGTGGGAGCCGGGTACTCTGTGCCTAGGATTAGAAGATACTGTGACTGAAGACCAGTTCTGCAGCCCTTTGCTCTGTAGGCTGTTGCAGCTCTCAGGTGGTTGGCTTAACCCAGTTATCCAACTGGACAGGCGGTAGGGGGAGAAAATGACCTGAGATGAGGTAGATGTTGGGTTTTGCAGGAAAGACTTTAAAGGGGCTTTTATAAAATTGTTTGAGGATATAAAGGAGAGCCTGCTCATAATGAGTGGACAGATGCAGAATGGCAGCAGAGAAAGGAAAATTATGTTCTTAAACAGTCAAATAGAAATCTCAGAACTAAGAAGTATAATGTATGTGAAGAATTGATACAAGATTGAACAAATGGTTGGAAGCTTAATGACCTGTAGGACAATATGAAGCACTCTACCGTATATGTGCAGTGGAGAGAGAAGAAAAAAGAATGAAACAAAAATTTGAAATAGTGATAGCCAAACTTTCCTAAATTTGGTGGAAAACATCAACATTCAATCCAAGAAGCTCAGACGCCAGCTGACTTCTTGTTGAATTCTTTTTTTTAATTAATTTTTCATTGAGGTATACTTGATGTACAGTGTTATATAAGTTTTAGATGTACAACATAGTGATTCATACCTTTTCAAGGTTATACTTCATTTATAGTTATCATTAAATACTGGCTATATTCCTGGTGCTGTACGATGTATCCTCATAGCTTGTTTGCTTTATACGTGGTAGTTTGTACCTCTTAATCCCCTCCCCTTCTCTTGCCCCTCCCCCATCTCTCTCCCCACTGGTCACCACTAGTCTGTTCTCTGTATCTGTGAGTCTGCTTCTATTTTGTTACATTCACTAGTCTGTTGTCTTTGTTAGATTCCACATATAAGTGATGTCGTGTGGTATTTGTCTATGTCTGACTTCACTTAGTATGGTCATCTTTAGGTCTATCCATGCTGCTGCAAATGGTATTGTTTCATTCTTTTTTATGGCTGAGTAGTATTCCATTGTATAAACATACCACATCTTCTTTAGCCAGTCATCTGTCAGTGGGCACTTAGGTTGGTTCCATATCTTGGGTGTTGTAAATAGTGCTGCTGTAAGCATTGGGGTGCATGTGTCTTTTCAAATTAGTGTTTGTTCTCTTTGGATAGATCATCAAATTCTTGAGCATAACACATGAGGCTCTTCACAGCCTTTTCCCAGCAGATCTCTCTAGTGTCCACGCCCCTACTCAGCCCACCTGGAAGACGTGCTGGCTTTGAGCACCTCACACCTGCGATGCTCCCCTACCTTTGACTCTCACAGCATCCCTTGCCCCTAACTTCACTGACATCAATCACATTGTCTTTGGCACTTGCCTTTTTCCTTAGTACCCACTTTTTTGCAGCTTCTGTCCCTGTAGGTACCTGCTTCCATAAGAAGGCTCTTTCAGAGCACAGGGACCTGTTGTTCTCTTAACACCTCATTATGGCCCCACCTGATCCTTCTCTTTACTTTTCTGAGCTAAACTTATTTGTTCTCTAATTCAAGACTCCCTGATCTCTTAAGAGGAGGTCTTGTGGCTCTTCAGCTGCCCCACTGGGACTTGATTGCAGTCACACCACTGGGCTCTTCAGCCGGGTCTGACTGAAGCCATCATTCCGCACAAGACAGGCGCTAAATGAAGAGAGCCTCCTTCCTCCCGAGGCCCTATGAGCTGTTCCTGGATGCTTTCTGGGAATTGTGGCTTGGAGGGCAGAGGGAGGGAAGGAGGGAGGGAGAGGAAAGTCCACTCTCAGGAAGGAGTGCTTTTCCCCCTGGAGAGCTGAAGGTGATTAGTCCAGGGACAGTGGGGACCGGCCCCCATTCCCAGTCCCGCGGGGACCCACCCTCAGGTTCTGTCCGGAGACAGTCAGCAGGGACCGGCCCCTATTCCCAGGCCCGCGGGGACTCACCTTCAGGTTCTGCCCTGGGACAGTCAGCGGGGACCGGCCCCCATTCCCAGGCCCTCAGGGACCTACACTCAGGTTCTGCCCGGGGACAGTCAACGGGGACCGGCCCCTATTCCCAGGCCCTCAGGGACCTACCCTCGGGTTCTGCCCGGGGACAGTCAACGGGGACTGGCCCCCATTCCCAGGCCTGTGGGGACCCACCCTCAAGTTCCGCTCTCATCTGTTACGGTCAGAGCCGCCCGAGCAGCCGTTGTCCTGCGTGAGCCTGTCCCTGGGTCACACCTCTCACCAGACTCTGGCTTCGTGTGGGGCCTGTCCTGCCTCCACTCTCCTGTGTGCACACACTGCGGTCCGCCCTGCTCACCCTCCCCCGGCTCACCCCGGGCCTGCTCCTTGTGCTTTAAGCTCCAGTCCCTCCCTTCTTCCTGGGCCACCCCCACTGGTGCCACATGGAACACAGGCGCAGCCCCGTCCCTCCCGTTTCGCAGCCTTCAGACCACGGTGTCCTCAGCGAGCAGCGAGACCATGCGGTTTACCCTCCACGCCAGAGCACTGAGGGTGTGAGGCTAACTGGGAAATGAATTACGAGCCTGAAATGAGTTCATTGTTAGGCCGGGTCAGCAGGCACGCGGGGACTGGAGGGGGCTCCACAGTCCCCTGCTGGGAATAGGGGCCGAGCCCCCGCCGCCTGTCCCTGCTCACCTTGCCGGGCACGCCCTCCCCGCCTCACTCTGCTGCAGGGAGCTCCTTCCTAACTACCTGTGTCCCCTCTCCCTCACCTCTGGGGACCGTTGTCCTCCAGCCTCCAGGATTCAGCCTCGGGATCCCCTGACCCCCAGAACTGGAAGGCTCCTGCAGCCTCCTTCCTTTCCACCCTGCTGCACACAGCACCTGCCTGCTAGAACTTTCCATGGGCACTGAGCAGCACCGTTGTTTCCTTGGCTGTTTGCTCAGGATTCCAGCCCCGCAGGATGGTTCCTCCTCCCTGTGAATCCCTAACAGCATCTCATCTGACTTCCCTTGTACGTACACCTCTGCTGGTCTGCGTTTGTGGGTTTAGGTCACGTCGCCTTGGGCCTGGGTTACCGCTCTGGCCATTGGACACCTTGTCTCTGTGCGCTTCCTCCCCTCGCCTCAGGACCAAAAGAGAAGCCTAGACGGACGGGGGAGCCGTGGTATTAAAAGTGTGTAGGAAGATGACTTTCCAAGTCAGTATTACAGTGACCGTGGTCTTCCTGGTTTTCTGTGCTGCCCTTACCATGTCAATTCAGTTGGCCTCCTTCCTAGTTGTGATTCTTTTCCTTTGAGAACTGGGGACGTGGGTGGCTGGTCGGGTGGGCACATGGCTGTGCGTTTTGTGGAGGTGAGGAACACGGACTGAGGAAGAGGCGAGTACGCACAGGTCTGCCTGTGTTCCTTGGCGTCCAGGGCAAATGCAGGTCGGCTTTCTGCAGAGGACAGTGCGTGCCTGCCCCCTGCTGGAAGGCTGTGTTACTGCTCCCGGGCCCTTATTTCTTTTTAAAACCCTGTGCTCTCTTTCAGAATGAAGTCAATGCCATCAAATGGGATCCTTCTGGAATGTTGCTAGCGTCCTGCTCTGATGACATGACATTAAAGGTAAGCCGTCTGATCCTGGACTGCCCCTGTACTCAGTGCTGGCCTGACGTTCCCTGGGTCTGCAGCTGGTGGTTCCGTGTGAGCACTCTCCCCGCCTCTGTCACTTTCCCTGTTGCACACTCGATGTTGCTGTCATGCAGGGAACTCCAGCTGAGCCGTGGAGGGTCCTGCTGAGTCCTTTCCCTCCCGTGGTCTTCCTCACGGGCGCCCCCAGTGTTCAGCAGCACCTGCCAGTTAGTCAGCTGCACACCTCACGGTGCCGTGAGCTTCCCAAGGGCCAGACACTAGTGAGGGCTCACGGAGGGAGTGATGTGGAACTACCGCCGGCTGGAGAAACAGCCTTTGCTCACATTGTTCCCGACACATTCTAGATCTGGAGTATGAAACAGGATACGTGTGTCCACGACCTTCAAGCTCACAGCAAAGAGATCTATACCATAAAGTGGAGTCCCACCGGGCCAGCCACCAGCAACCCAAACTGCAACATCATGCTAGCAAGGTAAGTGGAAGACGGCCCTTAGCCCAGTCTCACTCCCTGAAAGCAGCCTTGCTCACTGCGGCTGAGCCAGCAAGTCACTCACATCCAAAGAGAACAGAAAACTTTGCTCAGGTGTCTTGCAAATGTGTTTACACCCTTCCAAACCCAGTGGAGAGGTACCGCACCCTTGGAAGGGCCCACAAGCTGTGGGTTGTCCCGTGACGCCTGACTCGAGGTAAGGGTGGTCTTAACCACGAGGCAGGCAGGAGCAATCGGCCGTGTCACTCGGGTCCCAGCACTCGGCTTCGGTGAAGGTGTTTGTTGCAACAGGGAGAGGAAGCAGTGCAGCCTGGACCCTGGGCTTGGTTTCTTGGGTTCGACTCGGAGCTGCCCGCAGGTGGTCAGAATTCTGAGCAGTGGTGGGGCCCCCCCAGCCCCAGCCAGGTCTGACCTACCCATGTGTGTAGTGAGCCCCCGAGACACCAGCACTGGAGGGTGTGGGGCAGCTGGTCAGTCAGAGGCCGGGATTGGGAAGAGCGGTTTTAAGTGACCACAGTGGCCTCCCCAAGACCACATCACTCAGACTGCGGTCCCCAGAACTGTCGGGTCCCAGTGCTCATCGGGCCCCATTCAGGATACACAGTTGCACTCTCAGTACCGTATCTTAATAAGAACATTTAGAAAAACAAGCCAAAGAGATTCTGAGACTGAATACCAGGATACCTAGGGGTCTGGAGACCAGGGTCCAATAAAATGTGGGTGCTTGTTGAGCCTGGGAAAGGTGCGACTTGGGGGAATGTTTCCCTGCCAGGAAACAGCAGTGGGGTTGCTCTGTGTGGATGCAGAGAACAGGACCGGGGAGGGGGTGGCAGGTGGCAGGGTCCTCGCACATAGCTCCGGCTTGGCCGCACAGCCCCGGTGGGGGAGGGGGCGGCCTCGCCGGGCAGCAAGGACTCTTGGCTCAGAGCGTCCGACGCAAGGCCCTCTCTTAGAATAACACCGAAGGGAATTCCTGCTTCAGCTGAGACGCTGATCCAGAAAAACACAAAGACCAGTACTCTTTATTTCATGTAGTTGTCCTAAAATCCACCTAAATGTCTAGGACATGGGACACACTGTAGGCATTTGTGGGTTTTTTGATGACTTGGAAGGTGTTTTTGAACCACAGTGCCAGAGAAAGCAGCTTTGTGGTATGTACTGTGCTCTTACGTTTGGAAATAACTAAAATTTGCAACTCCCAGGAGAGTGATTGTATATTTAGATGCAATTGAACTTTAATTCCCAGGGGATTAAAATGCTCATTCACTCAGTTTGCTATTTTCCCAAGCATTATTTTAGTTGGCAGCGATAGAGGTGGTGTTTTAAGTTGTGGGAGCATTTTAGAAAATGTAGTGAATGCAAAAGTGTTTCTCATTCGTATCTCAGAAAAATGCAGAAACCAGTGAGTGTGAGGATCAATTTGTTTCCCTAATTAATGGCACCACAAAAAGAAAAGCTTTGTTTTGTGACTGCGGCTTGGTTTTCAGCATAGCCGCGTCACGTTTTAGGAGAGTCTGGGTGTACTTACTGTCTCCCAAAACGGGAAGGCTGGGAGGAACACCCACCCACGGTGTCTGTGAGGCATCGAGGGAGATGGCGGGGGACCTGCGCGTGTCCTGCTGACTTTCCGTTCCCGTCTCCCCAGTGCTTCGTTTGACTCCACGGTTCGGCTGTGGGACGTGGAGCGGGGCGTTTGCATCCATACGCTCACCAAACACCAGGAACCAGTCTATAGTGTAGCTTTTAGCCCCGACGGGAAATACCTGGCCAGCGGCTCCTTTGACAAGTGTGTGCACATCTGGAACACTCAGGTAATCCCTGACCCCCGTGGCCCAGCCCTTCCCCAAAGGACCGCCCGGAGAGTCGTGTGTTCGGCGACCTGGGCTCGGAGCCGCGCCTGGGGCGTCGGTGCTGAGGAGTGCATTGCCTCAGACAGTCCTCTGCAGGGGGACCCCAGGCCAAGTGCCGTCCGCCCTGTGCCCCTTGGTGGGGGAGGCTCCCCGCCAGGGACGCCCACCCAGTTTGGGTGCTTTTCCTGAGTCCTTGGCAGGAAACCTTCCCCCTGCCACCTCCTCTTGGACGTGAGCACTGAGCTTGGAAACTTGTAACACAGTCATCTCAGCGGAGATGCTGCCCTGTGGGCACTCAGGTCGGGGTGAGGGTCCCGCCGTGGGGGGTGCACCGGCCCCCGACCTCCTCTGCTCCACATGACTCCTGGAACTGCCCCTTAGAGCACGTCGAGGAATGTGAGGACCATTTGTGGGCGGTGGTCAAGCCATTTCAGCCTGTCCCAGGGAAACAGCCTAGGTTTGGGTAGCACGGGAGTGTCACTGTGGGGTCGTCCTGTCACAGGAGAAAGAGATGCTGTCTGGGGACACACAGCCCCTGTGGGTGTCTCTGGCCGCACCTCAGGGTGAGGGAACTGGGAGCATGAACATTGGGAACGAGCGGGCCTGGAGGAGCGTAAAGTGCTCCTCTGGGCGCTGAGCTCGCGCTTCTCCTGCAGGTAGGGCAGCGATGGTGGTGTGGGGTCGTGGCCAGCAGCAGCGGTCCACTCCATGTGACCTTGGGGTGGACTGAACAGCCCTCCCGCCTCTCTCTCACCCGCACCCAGCTTCCCAATTCCCTTTCGCCTGGCTGACTCTCTGCCCGCACCCACTGGTGGCCGGGGGAGGTGGTACCTGAGCCACATAAACGCGTGGGGCTGGGGGCGGTCCACGGGGACCTCAGGCTTCCCAGGAGCTGCCTCTCACGAGTCTTGTCTTGTCGGCCAGCCAGAGGCGATAGTGGCCCTCAGGTGGGACCCGGCTGGCGCCAAGCAGAGCCTCGCGGCCCTGGATAGGCCCCGGAAAACACCCATCGCGGGAATGACATGTGGCAGCCTCTGGTCTGAACCCTTACTGAAACAGCGGTGGGTGCACTTGTAAAATGACATCATCGGTCTGGCCCTGCCTGCTGTCGACAGCTCATCAGGTCCCTTAACCCCTCTTCTTACAAATCACAAAACCCTTGAGGCATGTTGAGGCTCCCTTTAATCCTCAGTGACAAGATGGCTTTTCTAAATGAGAAAAAGTGCGTAACAGGCGGATTGCTCCTCTCCAGCTGCCTCGGTTTCCCTGCCACCATCCGGCCGTGGCTGCGGTGACCCGTGGGAGGCAGCGTGACGCCAGCCAAAACGTCGAGGCCGATTCCGTGGGCAGCCATAGGTCACCTATGCTGCCCGTGTAGCGAGTCTGTGAGACGCATTTCTACAGCCACCGAGCGTTTCCTGAAAATACTCTTAGCTTCTCTGAGTTTGAGGATGTTTGCGGTAATGCACTGGGGGACCACGTCCACGTCCTTGGTGCCCTGGCACCGTGAGTGACCGCAGCTTTGCTTTGCAGAGTGGGAGTCTCGTCCACAGCTACCGAGGCACTGGCGGCATCTTCGAGGTGTGCTGGAACGCCCGAGGGGACAAAGTGGGCGCCAGCGCGTCCGACGGCTCTGTAAGCGGCACCTGTGGTTTGCCGGGGCGCGGAGGGCGCGAGGGAGGAGGGGCTGGAAGCTGCAGGCCCCCGGTACTGGCTGGGCTTCCCAGGGGTGGGGTGAGTCTCCGAGGACACAGCTGGCTCTCACTGGATGTGTGTCGGGTGAAGGAGATGTCTGGCTGGATCCTGCCAGGTTGGCACCGCATCAGGGAGCAGCTGTCTCTTCCTCACTCTCAGTGATTTTCTCAGTGAGATGGTGGCTTTCCCGTGGTGTCTTTTTCCGGCCGGGGGGCACTGTGGCTGTCCCTGCTTCGTGGGGCTGCTCCTGGTGTCTGCTGGGTGGAGGCCAGGATGCTGCTGAACCTCCCCTGTGCCTAGGACGCCCCCACAGCAGAGATGACAGGCGCCAAGACTCAGAAGCCTGCTGCCGTCTTGACTCCAGCCTGGGCCTCTGGTGTTACAGCTCCCACCTTCCACTCCACGGGGCCCAGGGGCCCGGGGGCCCTGTTTCAGCTTCTGGGACGTCTAGTTTTTTGGTTCCCACCTGCACTTGAAATTGCCCTGAACTGTGGGGCAGAGGGCAGGGAGCGGCTGGCCAAGTGCCTGCCTGGCCCCCTAGTGATGCTCAGGCCTGAGCCCCCATGTGGGTGTCTGGTCTGTGACCCCCACCAAGGGCTGCGCCTCCCCCAACTCCTTCCCAGTGCTGCCCTGGACCTGGCTACTTCCCTCTAGGCTGTTTGCAGGGGTTGACTGGTCAGATGCTCAGATGTTATTAGCCTGTCGTTTAGAGTTTCTCTGAATCCTCATGACTCTGTGCCAATGGAAGTCTATTTACAAAAAGTGGGTGGTGGGTGGTGGGCCGTGGGCCGTGGGCCGTCGGCCGTCCTCTTCTCTGAAGGCCTCCTGGGTTGCCTCTCACGATAACCGGCACCTCCTCTTTCCTTCCAGGTGTGTGTTTTAGATCTACGAAAGTAAACACAAAATACTATAGGAAAAGAACCCTAGTGGACCAGCAGTGAACGTGTGGGGTTGGAGCACTCTCCAGACACAACTCTGTCAGCCCCGAAACTGTGCGAACTTGACCTTAGAGTGTACTTTGCAATCAGCTCATCCCTGGCCACAGGAGTCTCTCTTTTTTTGTAATCTTCATCCAGAAGTTTAAAGCAAAAAGCATACCCACAGTCCCAGCAGAGGGGGAAGAATGGCTCCCACCTGGAACGTGGGAAGCGGGAAGCCAGCAGCTAGACGGCGCGTGGGTGGGACCCCGTCCAGAGCAGGCTCTGAGGGCTGAGAGGAGACGAAGAAGGAAAAAAGCTGTGCCAAAAAGAAAAAGAAGGAAAGACGCTGTGAGAAACCAAAAGGGGGGAGAAAAACCACTCCACGTGGTGGGTTGTTTCGTTTTTTCCTAACAATTTGGACACTACAGTTACTCTCACAAGGATGTTCAAAGACCAGTTTGTACCAATGACTTGGGCGACTTTGTAACCCCAACACTTTGTATTTTCTAGAATCTTTGTCCCGTGCTTTTTGTATCTGCTGGAATCCTGTCGTCCGGGGCTCTTCTGTCTGAGGCGGAAACCGTTTTGGGTTTGTGGCGTCTTTCCTGTTGTCACTGGCCCCCTGCCCTCTGTCCTCCTTCCTTCCTTCCTTCCTTCCTTCCTTCCTTCGTGGTCTTGGTGGGCAGCACACACTTGGTGGACACAGCCTTATGCACCAGACTCGGACGTGATGACGGAGTCTCTGGCAGACGGTGTTCCCTCCCCCTCCCCTCCCCTCCCCCCACCCCTTTTTGAGTTTCTTCCCCCCCAGCTCTCCCCACCCCTTTCTGAGTTTCTTCCCAGCTTAGGTCTCAAAGGCACTTTCAGGCACATCCTAAGTGCTTTATGGAAGAAGGCAGGGCAGGGGGACTTTTTACAGGAGAAAAAAAAAGTGACTTATAAGAGAAAGAGCCCCCAGTATTTTTGGAAAAAAAAATATTTTTATGTTAAAGCAATTTTAAAATCCTAAACTGGCCATCAGACATAGAGAGCTTTGTGTGATTCATATTTTAAAAGGAATCTTAGGAAGACACAGGCAGGGTGTGAGGTAGCTTTCCCTTCACTGTCAGCTTCCGGCAGGGCAGTGAGGACGCCGGGTGGGCAGACAGTCCCGGCCCTCCCAGCTGGAAGCAGACCTGGGCGTCCTTCGGGGTGTGTTGACGGCGGTGGCCGGCAGGACAGGAATGGAGAAGGGGCCGGACGTGAGAGGGAGTCCCAGAACCCACCGTGGGCGCCAAAGAAGCCGTCGGAATGTGCACCCAGCTTCCTGGCTGTGAGGAAGGTCACTCCAGCCGCGGCTCCCGGGGTCAGCCCGCCAAGAGCAGCCCGCCAGCCCCGGCCTCACCGCCGGCCCGGCTCCAGGATCCCACTGGATCTGATGACCACAACCAGCGGGGACGGGTGTTCGGCCCTGAGGGGGCATCACATAGGTAGGACATCACTGATCACTTCTGCCGTCGTCTTCATTTCTTTCTCTCTCAAGAGACTAGAAGGAAGACTTTTCTTTTTTTTAAATAATGAATCTTTTTACTGTTTTTTTTAAAAAATTAAATATGGCTTTGTGTTCCTCGCGGAGTTTCCTTTATTGCATCGGGTGACCTGGTATTGTTGTTAACCCGACGCTGACCCCGTCTTACAGGAGAGGTGTGGGGAGTGCGGAACCTGGGGCCTCTGGGCTGTTCCGTGTCCGTGGGCGGAGCCAGGCATGGGGAGGCGGTCTGGGCCCGGGGGCTGGTGGGCTGCAGCCACGCATCTGTTCCAGCAAGGAGCCAGGATATCATTCAGAGGGTGGACTCCATCCCTGGAGCCAAAAACAAGCCGTCAGGGTGGGACCAGGGCCCCTGCAGAAGAAGGAGCCGGCCAGGACCAGCTCCAGAAGCCAGAGCGTGTCCATCAGCGTCGGATCAGTAACGCACCTCCCTGGATCTGCGAATTGTTCAGGCCCCATCTGTGGAAGGCCGGAAAGCGCTCTGTTGACGAGTTGGGTGTTTTATTCGGGCCTCTGTTACCTACACGCTTAGCTAAGGAGGTCAGAGTTGTATGGAGTCTCCTCCATTCCCACCTTTGAAGATAGCAGACACCCCTGGATACATGGCTAATTTCTTGCCCCAAGAAATTATTAGGCTTGGGGTGCAGTTTGGGGAGCTCTGGACGCACACCATCTAGACCCCTCCCCACATAAGAATGTCATGTCTACGGCGCATCCGTCGTCCAGGGTCAGGACACGGTTTGTGTTTGACAAGCCAGAGCCTGCTGTTGGGGGATAGTGGTGGGACACACAGGCAGGGGTTCCCCAATCAGTCCTCAGGGAAGGGCGGTAGCCAGGGTCTCGAAGTGTTGGCATTCGACTCTGGATGCATCTGAACACTTAGGAATTGCTGGCTTGGAAACGAGGGCTATGAGGACAAGGACAGGGGCTCAGTTCCACACACCACGGTGAGCCTGACGCTGATGGAAGTCAGATCTTCGCCTGTCTGGCTTCCCCAACCGGCCGTCACAAAGGAACCTCCTGAGGGCCACAAGGGGAACCAAGATGCGAACGCAGCCAGCGCCCCTCGAATCCAGCCCATCTCAGCACGACAACAGCCACGTCCGACTCGGCGCCAGCGTGCACCCCACCAGCAGTCGATGGAGTCACCTCTGTCATCAGGGCTGCCCCCTGGGCCGTGTTACCACGGGACGTCGTTTACAGCTCTGAAAAATTGGAAGTAAATGCTTAAGTCTCGGTGATCGAACGGAACCGAGATGCTGACGGCAGACGTCACAATCCTTCCCGGAATGTCTGGTTGGGTTTGAAGTGACCAAGAACTCGTCCTGTGCACACCGGGGAAAAGGGTGCTACCCCACCGGGCACGCCAGGCCACCCGCGGCACCCAGGGCTTCACAGTCATTGTCTTTCTAAAAGTAGATCGTGGTGCCAAGTGAAGTGCACTGTCAAACGTTACGGTCTGTTTTTCTGCTTTCTTCCTTGTTATTTCCCCCTTTTTAACCTTCTGTTCCACTTTTTTTTTCCAAATCGTGTTTTTCTGGTCAAATGCAGAGTTGTTCCTCCCGCCGCTTACTGAGGTTGTGAATTCTGGCTTCTGCAGTGTTTATTGTCTGTGTCAGACGTACAGCCAGACGGGCTTCCCTCCGCGTTTTCCAGATTCTGCTCCATCCACACCGACCCCGTTTTGTTCTCGCTCCGCCCCTTCCCCCTCACGCTCTGGAGAAAAATCACCTTGTGTGTCGTAGCTCATTTGTTCCGAGAGAGAATCAACAGCTCATTCTCAGTGTCTTGAATAAATTGCTCTATTTTGATATTAGAGAACTTGGTGGTGTGCTTTTCTCATGTGGTCAGCAACTCTGGGCCCCGTGCTGACAGCACTCAGGGAAGGGGGACCCTGCATTTCCTGAGGGGGGGATCCCTGAGGGCGGCCGGCACGGTCCCACCAGTCAGCAGGGACAGAAGGTCGTGACGCAGGAGGACCAGCCGCCCCCGGTCACCTCACAAAGGGAGTGTTTTTCAGTACGTTTCCTTCTTTCAGGCTGGCTCTTTTGGAAGGTGGAAGCAAGTGCATTTTGTCGGGCAGGCTGGTTTCCCGGGAGTTCAGTTCACGGCTGAGCTCCGAGCAATTGGAAGAACCTGTAAAGTCAGGGCGCGGGGGACGGGCCGTTCTTCCTGCGCAGGGCGCGGACAGACTCCTGGAGCCGTGGGCTCCGCCAGGTGTTTGCATTCGCCCCTTGAGTGAACTGGTGGGTGTGGCCCGGTTAACCGGCTGGCGGCGCGGAGGCGCACGGAGGCTGCGCACCGAGTCGCCCACACGGTCAGGCGCCATCTTCCCCACCCCATGCAGGCCGGGCCGCCCTGCACCCTTCCCGCCCAGCGTTGTCCGGGGTCCAGCCCTGCCTGCTTGGGCTTTTCCTGAAGCCCCGCACAGCGGACCGCGTGTGTTCCCCCGTGGTGGGCTTGCGCTGAGGCCCTGAGCGCCCTGAACCCTGCCACCGAAGCCAAGGGGAGGCGCTGCGGAGAGCCCGGGGGCAAACACCGTGGCCGGCAGCGAAGCTCGTGACAGAGTCCCCCGGAGAAACGTGCCCGGGACGCGGGCTTTGGTGGCGTCAGCCGCAGTGCTGGTGCCACGTCAACAGCTTCGAAGGGCCTTCTCCGTCCTGCGAAGGAAACGGGCTTGAGACCACACAGACCGTCCAGGGTTTACGTAAGTTCCGTCGTCACATACATGGAACCCTTTGCTGCAGGGGGTCAAAGGCAGTTTGGTCCCTTGAGGCTCCCACTTACTGGGGATCTGAGTTTCCACTCGCGAGCAGAGAACTTTCTTCTTGTAACTGCCCGCATCAGGTTGCTGCTCCTAGAGGCTCTCTGAGGTGTTGTTTTATTTCATGGGAAGGTCTCTGCGCACCTGTGGGTGCTGGTGCTGGTCACTTCTGCGGGACGCCCGGGAATCACTGCCAGGCGCATGGAAGGGGTGGGAGGGGGTGGGAAGCGGGTACGTCTCCTTACACGAGACTCAGAATTTGGGTTTTTTTTTTTTCTAGGCTGGCTCCTTTTTTCTCCAGAGTCTCCATCCACTTTGAAGGTAAGACGCAGCTCCACCTGGAGGACAGCACAGGAGGCCTCGGGGGCTGGGAGGGCCGGGCTCTGCGGGGGTTCCGGAGGCCAGGACTGTTGCAGTATTACCTCCCCCTAAAACGTGAAGCTGGTACTCTGGAGAATAGGGGCTCCTATTAGGACTACAGTTACTCACACAGAAGTTACTGAGAGAAACTCCACCAGAAATGCCCCAGTTGCAAACGAGGAGGAGGAGGGTATCTTTGGAACAGGGGAACTGGGTAGACGCGCTGAAACGCTTTTTAAGGCATGATAAGTTAGCTAGGCGGTAAATTAAAATCGAAACAGAAGCCACCTGGTAGGAGCAGTCTCCTCTTTCCACCCCACTACACTCCCAGCTACATGTCGCATCCAGCCACCCAGACTCCTGGCTGTGTGTCCCACACCCCTCACCTTTCCGAGCACTTCCGTCACTCCCACCACCATCGCTTTCTCTCCACCAGAGCACTCCCCTTAGCATCTTGGGGATTAATACCCTCTAGCATCTGCAAAACAACAAGACATCCCCTGCAGCACCAGCCTCAGAGGGCAGTTGCTTCAGACCAAGCGTTGTCTGCTGTCATCCCGTTTATCCGTGTGTCTGCTATGCCCAGGAGTGACCTGATACCACCTTTGTCTCTGACCCTCGCTTCTGTGTCCTGGTGCGTAGCCATGGGTCTGTCCGCCCCAGTCAAAACCGCCCTGCCAGTTGTGCAGATACCCCGTCCACTACGAGGAGTCGCTTTAAGGAGACAGTCAGATCAGCATGGGTTCTAACTTGCAAGCTTCCAAATCTGCCTCTGGCTAATGTAAGCCAGGAGGAATGAGTGAGGAGGGTACTGGGCAGCTCTGGGGAGTCTCTGGAGAACCAGGCTTGGAGACTGTGCAGACAGGAGCAGCCAAAATCAGGGTGCAGGATGGCATCCATGCAGATGCCCCCGGGCATAAACAGCACTGGGAGCTGCCCACAGGTCAGTACTGGACACTGGGCTGGCCCCGGAAAGCACACCCAGGCTGCCTTCCACAGGGGATGTGCGCGCTGCCAACCCCTGTGCAGAAGTGCTCCTCCTGCCCGGCCCATTCCCTGGGGCGCTAGCGTCCAGCTTAGACCCGGGACACGTGTCTGACTGGCTCTGTGAGGGCTGTTCCTTGCTTTAGCTGCGAGGGAGCCTGGGAAAGCGAGCGGCCCGCGTCTTTGCGCTAGAGTGGGGGTGGGGCTGTGCCCCGGTCAGTAGTGGGAGTCCTCAGGAGGGGCCTCTGAGGCTGGGGACAGGCACAAAATCCGTACAGAGATGAAGGCAGATGCCACCCGGGAGAGCTAACTCCTTCACACCTCCTGGACACTTTGGGTCAGGGTGGCCGTGAGGCAGCTCAGGTCCATGTGAGTTGCGCAGACCTGGGCATCCCGGTCACAGCCTTGAGATGCCCTGAATCTATCTGCCGCCGCATGACTCCGAAAGCACAAGTCCAGAAGCATCCTGGACAGCTTTCCTACAGCGAAACGGAGTCCTCATCTTGATACGAAGAGGGGCGTCAGGCGGCAGAGCTGACTGCAGCGTCTCGAGGAGGAAACGGTGTCTTGCTTTTCTACACTTACGTAGGTGGCTGGTCTCCAGTGCATGTTACATACAGTATTTTTGCCCCCAAATATGTATATGCACACGTATATATTTATAATGTATAATTTTATGTACAGTCGGCCCTCTGCACTGCGGGCCCCCTCCCCCCGCGGATGCGGACCACGCAGATGCAGAGTATCTGCGTATTTTGGTGTCCGCGAAGGGCAACTCTCTATATAATTTTATATATATATATTTCATCTGATGGGAAGATGGAGCCGTGGGCAGTGGTCTGAGCAAAGTCAGGTTCGAAGGATTCCTCTGACCGCACCACCGCTCAGCGCCACGGGGGGCCCGAGGCCAAATCGCGGACCCCAGCCCGCCCTCCTCTGCCCCCTGGTGGCGGGTGCGGGACGTGCCGCGCAGCCGCCCCGCGGGGCCCTCCGCCGCGGGGCCTTTGGCGTCTTCCCCGTCTGCCTCAGCACCATTCGCTAGAGGCGTTGTTCAGACAGAAGCCGCGTCAGGCCGGGCGCTCAGGCACAACTGCTTTATTCACTTTCCCAAGGACTTGGATCTGGCGCTCACGTTACAGGCAGACCAGAAAACCCCGCGTGCACGGAGACGACAGGAGCTGCGGAGAGCTTGGTCCAGGACTCTTCCTCCTCCCACCCCCAGCGCGCACTCACGGGCCACCTCTCCTCGCACAGGGGGTCCGCGGGAATCCGCCCTAACGGGACGACGACAGCAAGATCTGGGGGGACTACCCCCCGGGGCTGCGGTGACCGCAAGGCGAGAACACGGCTCTGAGGCGCGAGGAGCGTGGAGCCTGAGGAATACGAGGTCTGGGCCCCGTCGCGTCCTCTCACAGGTCTCCCCGCGGCTTTGCAATAGGTCCAACCTCATTTCCGCCGCGGGACGCACTTGTAACATGGATTTCAACGGTGCTGGCGTCGGAACCTGGAAAGGGAGGGAGAGACCCGCCGTGGGATGGTTTCCACGTCCTGGCAGGTCTTTCACAAGCATCACAAACGCGTATTTTCTTAAGTTACATGGTACTTTCACATACAGTTCATATTACGTGCTACTTTCATTTCACCGAAGGACACAACAAATCCCACAGAGCCATCTAGGGTGACTGAACGATCCTGCGTTCTTCCACCTCCCCTCCCCCGAACCACCCCGCTGGGTCTCAGCCAAACCGCGCGAGTGCTGCAGATCAAATGGAAACCGCCCCCGTTCACCCGGGGAAGCGCCGGAGCCCAAAGGGCGTCTCTTAGTATAACTAAGAATTGCCCTTTCGTGGCTGGTGCCACACGGTTTGGGAAGGGGAAGTCGGTAACAACCAGTAGAATGAAAGCAGACACCACTCCTGCGGGAGGAGTAATTGTGCAAGGTCTGTTTAACCATCCCAGTGACACACCGTCCTTCAGAACCCGTGGGAATCCTTCGGGACAGAGGTCAGAATTGTTCTTTTATTCAGCTAATATTCAGGCATGTCTGCCATAGGCCAGGTTCTGAGTCCACTCAGTTCCAGGGATTCCTTAAACTGTATCACTGCTCAGCACAACGTGGATCGGGGCTAAATCACTGATCCAAGCCTGCCCTCCTCTGCCCCCTAGTGGTGGATGAAGAACTTGCTGTGCAGCCGCCCAGCAAGGGTGCCGGAAACGGAGCTGGAAGACGCAGAGAAAGGTGCCCTTTTCAACGAAGCACATGGGGCCAGTGACTGCCCCTCATGAAAACCTCCAAATACCCAACTCCCTCCACCAATAGGCCCGATAAACAGATGTTGACTGGAAAAGTACAGTGGGGTCACTGCCTTGACACCAGCTGGATGCAGCACAGGTACCTCGGAGCATTAATTGAGTCTAATGTTTAAAGAAGAACAAGCACAACTCAGAAAGAGAAGCAGGCAGAGTTTTGGAGGACACTTAGGGAAGGAAAGAGAATGCCAGCGTTGTATGGGCCAGAGGGGATGATGAGTTGTGCTTGGAAATGCCTGGGGCAGCCTGAGTTGCAGGAAGAGGTGACGATGTTACCAAGAAAAAGCAAGTCTGGGGCTGCAGTGTCCCACCACCACTGCCTCCCCCCTCATGGCCTGTGTAGGGGAGAGGCGCTCCAGGTTTTCTCCCAGGGCAGGATTAAGATGAGTCTGGGAGAACG